AAATGTGTATTTAACGATGACTTGTACAAGAAATTCCACGCTTTCCGTTGCGTTCGGGGCAAGTGTGAGTCCATGTGCACAGTGTATAAAGCAGGAACATATGTTTCGGTGTCCAGTGGGAAAAAGTTTTACCAGGTGAGAGTCGTGCAATGTTGATGACGAGTCCCCACCTCCCTCCCCCCGTACGGTGTCCTGGTTTTGACAAACGCAAATCTGGTCACACTAACCTGTATTCCACTGAGTCATGTCTTTTAATCTGACAGAAATTGACCGCATCAGCGACACAAGAGCTGCAGTTTTATCTTCGCTTAGTTTATGCAAATTAGCGATGCGATTTTAAGTTTTGTTTCTGTGAGAGTTGCGCAAAACTGAATTAAACACATTCTAATGTCAAACAGGCTGATGTGGCTCTAGAGTCGTTACGGTTTATTTGTTGTAAAGTTGAATTTATTTATGCAGATTAGTAGTGCAGATAGTAATAATAATGATGATAATTTTAATATAAAAACATTCATGATTAATTGATAATCGATCGTTAATTCTTCCGACGATCGATTAAGAAAATTTCATCGAATGTCCATCCCTAGTCTTGATTCATGCTAAGATCCTCAAAACCACACACAAAATATTCAATTTGAGCTTTATCAAAAAACTTGCCATAAAAAGTACATTTTTAATTCATGTAAGGTAATTTGGGCCAATTCACCTGGAAGCCTGAGGGCCAAGAAAAATTTGTCCGAGGGCCGCATTTGGCCCACGGGCTATAGTTTGGACATGCCTGATGTAGATACTGTAATTCCAGCCCTGTAATTTACAAAAGGTAAAAAGGTAAAAGGTAAAAGTATCTGTTACCTTGAAATCTACCACTGAATGACATCACACAGTGGAACAGAGCATTCTGAGTGAGCATTTTGAGCTTTGGAGATGTAGACAGACTAATAATAAAGAGTTACTCAAACATGTGTGAATGAAACAAAACACCAGGTCTGTTTTTGAGGAGGAGACAACATTATAACATGCGTTAAAGCTCACAAGAGACCATTTTTCTCAATACTGTATAGGACCTTTTAATAAAAAAATATGTAACCATTTTATTTCCAGGTTGAAACTTTCATTTTAAGACAAAAACAAGTCCAAAGTCTGAAAATTGAAAATAAAATGAGCTGTAATGTCTTTTCAGGATTACACTGTGTGGACTTGTCAGGTGAAGAGCCCAGGACCTTTTCACCAAACTCCACATGACGCAGGCTGTAATCACACACAGAGCAGGACCAAGAACACATCATGTCGAAAATGACTTTTCCAGGAGAGGCCAGCAGGGGTCAGCACATCTGCAGCTCCACAGACTGAACCAATGAACACAAAACACTGTAGTTAGAGACCTCTTCACACCGCAGGGAAATCATTTCACCAAGAGGGCTTCCAGTAGCTCCTGTGTGCTCTCGTTCATGTGGAGAGGCTCGACTGTGGGGAGGTGGAGAGGGCACAATACTTCAAACTCAATATTTGCTTTGTTCAGAATAATGTGTGACTATTTGTGAGTTTTTGCTTCCTGTTTCTATGCATCATTTAGACTTTTTCCTCATTCAGAACAGATAAAATTGTACATCACTATGGCAACGGTCTGAATTTTTCATCATTTTGAAACTGGAAACTGACTGAAAGGAAAACTGATGCCTGAGCTCTTTAGACATGTTATAATGCTCCTCAAAAACAGACCTGGAATTGTGTTTTTGTTTCATTCACGCATGCTTAAGTAATCCTGTATTATTGATCTGTCTACATCTCCAAACCTCAAAATAATCTGTTCCACCTTGTGATGTCATGAAGCATTAGTTTTTAAGTTAACAGATACATTTTAGCTTTAGATCAGCAGAGATTGACAATTCCAGGACTGAATTTATCCAAATAATTCTACTGAAGATGTATGGAATTTAAAAACACAGTGTAGCACTTCCTGTATTACTACATGACATCACAAAGTGGAACAGAGTGTTTTCATTCTGAGAGAAGAACTGAGTCTAAATATGCAGGTTTGTGTGTTGTTAAACATGTGTGAATGAAACAAAACACATCTCCAGGTCTGTTTTTAATAGTGTTGTAGTCAAGAGCTCACTAATCGAGACCAAGATCAGTCCGAGACCACAGGGTCCTGAGACTAGGACAAGACCAAGACCTCTGAGGGTCAAGACCGAGACAAGACCAAGACCATGGCCCATCAAGACCAAACGAGACCATCTTTGTAATTTTTGACATTTATTTGTATTTTACAGTTATTTTGGCACATTTATATTAATGTTTTTTGTAAACCTATCTCAGTTTTATCACTCATCGAGTGTCAGTGTCAGACCTCGAGACTGAGTCCAAGCGCCTTCAGGACCGAGACAAGACCGAGTCCAAATGTGGTCAAGTATGAGACAAGACCGAGACTGTAAAAAACTGTCTTGACAGTACTACGACACTAGTTTTTTTTTAATTATTATTATTTTTTTTAATATTATTTGTTTATTAATTTTCCAAGACAATTATTACACTTACACATATGCAAATATTGTTTAAGGATCAAACATTGTCTTAAACTTAATGACACTAGTTTTTAATGAGGAAACATAGATCAGAAAATAGCATAACAGGAACCGTTTAAAAATGGCATTATATTGAGGCCTGTTTTCGTGGGCTGAACTATGACATGACAATACTATTCAGATTTTCAGGCTCATTAACAGTTTGGAGAATTGATTCCCACTTGAAACAATTTGTGTAGTTACATGATACAAGTAATCCACTCAGTACTTGACTCCTTTCATTATTTTATTAACTCACACAGCACAGCACTTTGAACATTTTCAAAAACAAGACAATTGCACAAAGGATTTATTTATGTATTATTCATTCATTCATTCATTTATTTCAAATAAAGACATTATTTGTATATGTAGAATACTTCAGTAAGTGGCTTTGTTTTATGATGTATTATACCTTGACATGAGCATTAGTAATGAGATACAAACTTCTCTTTCTAAACACAGAAGTACTTGTTTTATTTGTGTACTTTACTTTATAACATGTTGTCAGTCACAGTCACCCACATCTTCCTTTTCTTTTAAATTTCAGGGTGGGACCAAGGCAGGACAGGTGTAGAGGAGGAGCCATGTTTGGACATTTCAATGGGTTTGTGGATTTTGATAAATAGTTGGTGTTGGTCTTTAGAATGTTTTTAAAGCACTACTGCTGAAAAAAGGACTAGATAGGACAATCATTAACAATTCCTGAGGTGATGAAATCCCTGTGAAGTAACTTAAAGGGTGAGACTAGTGATGAGGATCTCTGGTTTCACTGGGATCATCAGGTGGGATCCCTTTTTCTCCGATGTTTGGATGATAAACCCACGACACCTCCGGAGGGCTCATGGGCAACATCTGGCGTCCCAGGTGTGCTCCCCTCTGCACAGGACTCCCCTCAGCTCTTCTGCTGCTGTTTACAGACCCAATTACCATCCCTTGTCTTAATCCAGAACCATCGACTGGACTCCTGCAGCACCCCAGAGAGACAGAGCTGATGCGGCTGCAGTAATAGCTCACAATACTGAGTGTGGAGTGAATGAATAAAGCTGTAATGCGCTCTGTGAGTCTTGAAAGGCACTGTATAAATCCAGTTTATTATTATTATGAGGTTAGTTTTCAGTGAGCCTATCCACATCCTTGCAGTCACTATTGCTTATTTGAAGCTTTCTTCATCACAGATTATGTTTCAGTGGAGTCTGGCTACATACTACAGACTCATCGAGTAAGCACTTTACACATTAAAGGTGCACTGTGTAACTTTTCTGGAGGATCCGTCATCTGCTTGTCTCATGGTGATGTTATTGCATTGTCTGAGATGTTCTACAGTATTGTATTGAATCATTTACAGGTGTTTTTATTTTATTTATTTTTTACAGGTGTTTTTATCATTTTTTTTTTTTTTACAGGTGTTTTTATTAATTTTATGTTTTTATTTATTTACAGGTGTTTTTATTTACAAGTGTTTTTTATTTACAGGTGTTTACAGGTGTTTTATTTACAGGTGTCTTTATTTGTTTTATTTTTTTATTTACAGGTGTTTTTATTTACAAGTGTTTTTTTTATGTAAAGGTGTTTTGTTTTTTTTCCTTTGTTTTTTTTAAATTAACAGGTGTTTACAGGGTTTATATTTACAGGTGCTTTTTTTCTCAAAACCACAGCAAACCACTGCTTTCCTACTATGAGTGAGCCCACTTCTCCACAGATCTGACCTGTAACTGACCTAGTGATATAGCCTGCTTGTCTCCATGGAGATAATTTAATTAGCTGCCGTACTGTAGAGCAGAGTGTCCAGTTTCCAACTTGGAGCTCGGAAGCCACTGGTAGCTCTCCACCCCCTTCCAAGTAGCTCGCCAAAGGATTTCTGAATTACATATTGTGCTGAATAAGGAAAATTTTATGAATTAAATGCTTGTTATCATTGTAAATGATTTGATTCCTAACTTTACATGGATAATAGTTTAAGCTTTATAGGCATCTGACTGTACCTCATCTAAGGCTCGCCATGACTCTTATATTTATTCAGTTTCTTGTAGCTTTTGTTCTTGTAGCTCTCTGGCATTTTCCTTTTGCACAGGTAGCTGTAACCAGAGAAAAAAGGTTGGACCCATGTTGTGAAAAATTCCAGGGAAAAAAAGCAATGTCTACATGAAGTGAAGCAGGTGACGAATCCTCTATCAGAAAACTTACATAGTGCACCTTTAACATAACTTTATGTATTTTAAAAAATGTAATTCTTATTATACTTGTATTTGTCTTAATATGCCTGTGCAGTACTTTGGAGCTTGTCATGTTTATAAAATGTGCTATATACTAGTAAATAGTGGATTGTCATGAGCTCATTGGGAAAATAAAGTCTCTCAAATTCTAACTATTGTAGAAATATGCATACAGTAAATGTGAGTGTATATATATATAAAAGAATAGATGGAGACCCAGTGAAAGTAGCAGTTCACAATTTATTTACTGAATAAATTTGGACAAAACACAAGAATCTGTTACAATACAATCAGAACATGTGAGGCAGATATACCACCATGCACCTCCTCCCTCCATGAAACTAAAGGACTAAACATAGCACCAAATCAGCACCAACTGAAAGAACAGAGCTCAGTCTACAAAACCAGTAAAGCAATAGTCGGGATTATTGAAAAAGCAACTCAGAAAGTAGCAAATTTAACATGTTTACGTTGAAATTTTGTAAGAAAAACAAGCTCCCCCCTCCCTCCCTTCCTCCCCGTGAGGCGAGCTATAGCATCCATGGGGTACATGCCATGACTAGATTAAAAAACACAACTGAAGAACATTGAAATACGACCAAAAGTCCACTGTACTCTGTATTCTGAGATCACAGGACCTACGCAGGCATAGAAAAGTAAAGGTCCTACAGCCAGAATCAACTGAACATCTGCGCCAGGTTTGAACAGAAAGAATTGCGAGAAAACTGGCACAGAAAAGTCTGATACAAAACTTCAGACAGACCTCGCCTGTCTTGTGTCGAGATATTGCCTACATTATACATGAAAAAGGAATCTCCGAAGAAAGAAAACCCTGCAATGTACTTAGATTTAAATATATATATATTTATTTTATATATTTATATATCACTGTTACAATTTAAATAAATGTTTTGCTCTTTTGTTTCTACAACTGAAGAATTCATTTAAATAAGAGGAAGCTAATTTCATAGAGGTTGAACTGTCCATTCACTAACACAGTAAGTGCATGATGTTTTTTTGGGTTAATCAGGAAACCGTTGAGTGAGCTTTGGGAGTGACGAAGGCAGCTTTCATGACTGGATAGTACTGAAAACAACTCAAAACAGACAGATGAAGAAGTAAAAATGAACTGAAAATACTTATGTTAATGATTCAAAGAACAAAACATTAAAATATAACTTCAACGAAATGAGATTAGCCATGTTGATGACGACGTTGGTCTGCGGACACTAAAAGAAAACGCAATGGAAAAGGTGCGGTGCTGCAGTTGGTCAGCTTTATTTCTTCTTCTCCTTTCGTTTCCCGTCGTTTGTCCCTTCATGCTTTCCATACATAGTGTCAGAAATGGCCAATGAATCTATCTTTAAGAGCACCACATAAACCGAAAACAACAATTGCTACATTTGCGACTTGCATGATTGGTAGCACCCTCCCCCCGTTCAGGCTCAGGCTGGGTGCTGTACCAGGTGACGATTAGATAACATTTGTCAAACCAGGCTCGAGGTTTTCCAATTTAAAAAAGATGGAACGGAAAACAAGATGGAAAAACCTTTATAAAGAGTGACAAACGCTCATCTATTTCTATTTCACTACTCGTTTTGGCCCGGGTGTGCGCTTAGCTTGGCGGGCTGACCTTGGCGATGTCCGATTGTGCTTGGATTGGATGTTTCAAACTCAACTGAAAAACTGCTCCAGCTCCTCCTCCATGTTGACATCAGGCACCGTTTGCTCTTGGTCCCTCTCCGCTTTGCCGTGACCCGTGGCGCCCCCCAGCCCCCCGGAGGAGACGAACCAAGGGTGCGCAAGTATCTCGCGGGACGTTAGCCTTTCGTTTGGCTCGCGACGCAGGATGGAGCGGATCAAGCATTTCGCCTTGGGAGTTAAAGTCTCTGGGATGTTGAAGTGGCCCCGTCTTATTTTGGTGAACAGGGAGCCCGGTTCGATGTCGTGGAATGGATAGCGCCCCACGAGGATGGTGTAGAGCATTACACCCAGGCTCCACACGTCCGCGGCCTTCCCGGAGTAGCTGCCGTTGGCGTTGAGGATCTCGGGGCTGACGTAGGCGGGGCATCCGTGTTTGTCGGACAGGGAGTCGTCGAGACCGTCCAGGATGTACGTGTCCTCCAGGCTCTCCAGCTTCACCAGGTTTCTGCAGAAGACAAAAGAGGAGGAGCTATTTAGTTTATTTTATTTATTGTTGGAAGTGTGTTTTCTGTTAAACACTGTTTTTGCGGGGGAACAGGGACTGACTCTGGTAGTCAAATTTTTATACAGCATCACTCATAGTAGGGGTGTGCAAAAATATCAAAATATCGATAATTCGTATCGTTTAATGTAATGATACAGTATTGATATCGTGGGCTGCTGTATCGTTATATCGCCAAGTCTATTTTTTGGTATATTTTACTAAATTATTTTGTTACAGCTACAGTTTTGTTGCTTGTTTAGAGGAAAAAAACTCATTTATGCAACACATTTGACATGTTTTCAGGATTAAAATGTTTGTTTCATATTAACTTTGCACAAAAAGTGGTTTAACAAAGACTTTTAGTGTCACAGCCATGATTTAGCTATTATTTTTTATTGAACCTTATCAAATTGATTTGAAATATCTCGTATTGAACCGAAAAAGCACTGTATCGAGATATGTATGATATCGTGGCCTCTGTATCGAGGCATGTATTGTATCGGCAGCTTCATAATGATACCCAGCCCTAACTCCTAGTGCTGGGTATCATTAAGAAGTTGCCGATACAATACATGCCTCGATACAGTGCACTTTTGATTCAGTATGATATATATATATATTTTTTAATTGAACTGCATTGAATTGATTTTAAAGTCTAAATCGTGGCTATGATAGTAAAAGTCTTTGTTAAACCACTTCTAGTGCAAAGTTCATATGAAACACAAACATTTTAGTCATCAAAACAGTGAAAATGTCGAATGTGTCGCATAAACGAGTTTCCTTCCTCTAACCAAGCAACAAAACTGTAGCACTGCAACAAAATAATTTAGTAAAATACAGTATACTAAAAAATACTCTTGGCCATATATTGATACAGCAGCCCATGATATCGATACTGTAACTGTCTGACCTCGCAGCATTAGAAATTGTTCGCTTGAAGGTAGGCGAGTACTTTTTTTATTTAACCAATCGCTGTTAGTAGGTCATGATGTTTGTAATGCACCGCTAATGGGGTTAACTGGTATATTAAGCTTTTCCCAAATTAAATCCTCGATCTTGGGATTCGTTGCCAACACAGAATGTATGGATCTTCGCACTTCCGTGTTTTTTTCTTTTTTTGCTGGCTAGAACATTCCAGGAAAAAACAGTAACGTCTACATGGGTCAAGCAGGTGGTGAACCCTGCACCAGAAAAGTTACACAGTGCACCTTTAGGTACAGCTTTGTAAATTGAAACATTCTCATTTTGTCCACTGATCCGAAGGCTGGAGGTTCGAATCCCGCTCTCGACATAAACATTGTTGGTTGAGCAGTCAGATCCACTGACCCACAAGATGAATGCTGTCGTGTCCTTGGGCAAGACACTTAACCTACCTTGCCCACATTGTCTGCGTACACTAGTGTAATGTGTGAGTGAATGGGTGAGTGGTTCCTTGTTGTAAAGAGCTTTGAGTGCCTTGAGGGTGAAAAAGCGCTGTATAAAAATGTGACCATTTACCAAATATTACACATCTTCATTGTTTCCATAACTTTTACAGTATAAATTTAAATACATTTCTGCAAATCACTATTATTCTTGTTTAAACATCTGTCTGAAAAACCCATGTCACCTTTTAAAAAATAGCTGAAAACATTTGGAAAAAGAGACGGTCCACTAAAAGTCTCTCAAATCCCTATAATGTGCCTAATGGTTTTGGATCCTTCCCTTTTGGATATCAGAGGAAGTAGAGCACATAACGCTCAGGGCTTAACTTTGACATTTCCTTTCACCGAGATAAAAGCCCCATCGCGGAACATCTGCGTCGCACAGACAGACTTCCCAAAAAGGCCTCCGCAAAACGAACACAATTATGAACCACTGATCTTCTTAAGTTTCCACAAACTGCCCTAAGACCTGACTGTGCAGATTTACCTTTAAAACAACGTCTCATCTTTCATTTAGAGATCCTGTATCACACACAACTGACTCTTGAGCTTTAGGCCATGTTAGAATGTTGTTACCTTCTCAAAAACAGACATGAACTTGTGTTTTGTTTCATTAACGCATGTTCAATGCTCTGTTCCACCTTGTGATGTCATGAAGCGATAATTTTTATGTTACCTTTTACCTTTAGTTCAATATCGATATATTGTATTGTTTAATGTGATGATACAGTATCGATATATCACCCAGAATATTTTTTGGTATTTTTTACCAAATTATTTTGTTACAGAGCTACAGTTTTATTAGCCTGATTCAGGAGCCGGTTTCACTTCGTAGAAACTGTCAGACCTCGCAGCATTAGGATTCGTTCACTTGAAGGTAGGCGGGTACTTTTTTTATTTAACCAGTTGCTGCTATTTAGTCGCAACGTCTGTAATGCACCACTAACGGGGCTAAGTGGTATATTAAGCTTTTCCCAAATCCCGGAGGAAGAAGGGCAATATTGTCTTTCCCCTTGATAAAATTCACCAAACATTCTCTTTGTTCCGGCTTTAAATCCTCGATCTCAGGAATCGTTGCCAACACTTAATGTATGTCTCTTCCCTGACTGGCTGGTGCCCGGACTCTCATTTCCGGGATTCTTGTAAACCGTCTCGTGTATTCCGATTCCTGAACTAGTTGCTGGAGAGAAATGAAACTGAGTGGAGGCACTAGGTGGCGCCAGTCTGGCTAAAGTTTTGTTGCTTGTTCAGAGGAAAGAAACTGTTCATGCAACACATAATCACTATTTTGATGATTAAAATGTTTGTGTTTCATTTTAACTTTGCACAAGAAGTCGTTTAAACAAAAGACTTTTTAGCATCACATCCATGTTTTAGAATTATTTTTATTGAACCGTATCAAATTAATATGAAATATAATCACATCGAATTGCTAATTGTATCGAGATATGTATCGTATCGGCAACTTCTTAATGATACCTTAATTTTGGGGGATTGTCAATTCCAGGGCTCACGTCATTCAAATGATTCTATTGAAGGTGTACGAAGTGTGATTGAAACAAAACACAACTCCAGGTCTGTCTGTGATGAGGAAACAAACATCTAACAAAGATATAGATCGGAAAATAATGTAAAATGGACCATTGAAATGTGTTATTGGACTAAAGTTTTAGTTAAAAGTTTGACTCAAAAACATTAAAAATGCTCTGTCCGTCCATTGATAATATGCTAATAAAATAGTCCAGCTAATGTTTGTCTTATTGAAATATAATTATTAAGTCAATGGCTAATTAAAAATGACAGATAGACTGGAGCCAATTTGCAGTTACTGATAGCCGGGCTTCCTTGTGGCGCATACATAAAAAGGTCAAGAACTTCACTTTTCTTTTCAGGATAACACCAAACGAAGTGACAGACTGTTGCTATGGTAACAAGAAGTGCTGATCAATATATAAGCCTGTCACGATAATTACTACATCGACTTTTTGTATTTTTGGGGTCAAGTACTTGTGTTAGTAAGTGGAAACTTTTTGTAATTTTCTGTTCTACCATAAGATTTAAGCCGTAAAAGGTTGAATTAATATTGTAGATTTTGGGTTGTTTTTGTGCATTGGGTAACTTTTCTGGTGGAGGGTCCATCAAATGCTTTTCTCCATGGAGATGTTATTGGAAAGTTTCATAGTATGGCATTAAACCTTTCTATCTACATGGAAACCAAACCAGATGAAGTTACAGGTCAGATGTGTGGAGAGGCGACATCGTTTTTCTACGTATTTTTGAGCAATAAAACCCCCATAATTGAGTAAATGTAAAGTCAAGCTGTTTAATGTCATACTGTGGAACATTCTGAGCAGAGCAATTGCCATGGAAACCAGAAGGCGACGAGCCAACAACCGAAACGTTCCACAGTGCACCTTTAAATCTGCTCAGTAGCCTAAAATACTGAAAAAAATCTGAAAAAGTTCTATATTTTTTGAGACTCGTTTCAGAAAATGAAATCCAGATATTATATAGACTTAAGATTTTCTAATATTTTGAAATGGTCTGTATATTTACTTCAACAATACATTCCACTTCCAGATTTGTTATTGTGACAGGCCCAGTACAAGTATTGATATATTAAAACGTTAAGACCAGCAAACACAATAACAGTAAAATCACAGCAGAATAAAAATCAATAAACCGTAATAACACTAAATACTAGGCCTGTCAAGATGAAGACTATATTGACTTGTCGTTCAATATATGAAAGATGGAACAATTATTTTTGAGGTCAGTATTTACGGTGGGTACTTTTTCTTTGTGCTAATGGGGGAGGTTTAGTTCTGGTTTTGTCTTGTGCTACGGTTTGTTTTCAGTTGAAGAGGGTTGAATAAATAACTTCTATGACTCATTCTAGATGGATCTTAACGACCAAAGTATTTCATTCTGCTGTTCTGCTCGTTGGAACACGGAAGACAGTCGGCTTGTTTATTTTAATAAGTCATTTTAGGTGAATATTGCGATTTTTAAAAATGTGCAAATTATAACGGAATGATCCACGGGCCGCATAAATCATAACTATATAAACAGGCTTGAGCACAATGTCTTCTTCACTTGCTATAATTTAAGAGATTGGCATAGACTGTACAGACAAATGGACATGGCTAACCCACTAGACGCAGTGTTCCAAATAGGAAGTGAGCATGGGGACACTTCTGACTCCACTGATTCTGGCTCCAATTGACCTGACATTGAAAAACTGTCACCCTCTCTGTAACTGCTGCAGTGAGCCTGGTCATTTTGGTCTTAAAATATTCATATAACCTGCTCTATAAGACCCTATTTTGCCATTTTGTCTGTAAATAAATTCTTATTCCTGGCTCCAAATTCGCTCCTATAACTCATCGTTTCCCAAAGATTTTGCTTTTGGGTCACCTTGTCTCGATCTGCATGTCAGTCTACAATATACAGTTCTGAAATGTTGAAATGTTAAGACATGTTTTGTATAATTTCTAATCTTTTTGTAATTATTTTATTGATTATTTTGTTCTAATT